TGCATGGTGCATGTGTGAGTGTGCGCATGCAAATATGTACATTTGTCTTTCTTGTTGATGTACGGTATCTGTGTGCATAAAATTTGTTTATATGTAAGATGTGTATGTGCATATAGTGAGCTGTTTGATATCTGTATTCACGTTATGTAGCAAGTAATCATCTAACACAGAAATATGCCCTTGTGAAGGCACCAAAATCTTCTCGAGGAGCTACTGGAAGGACATCCAAGTCACCTGAAGGTGCTGTTCAGCAGCCACTGACAAATCACTGGGACCACATCATTAAGTTCCTGGATTCTTTTATGGACCGACTACATAAAAATTATGTAAGTTTTTTCTTTTTTTTATTGGTCATTACAAGTCCCAACCAATTGAACTGTATGATCGTCAGTAGGTACTTATTCTTTTCAAGTTGTAATGTAAATATGTGACACTGTATCTGATGAAGTTTTTTACTCGTATTTTTGGAATGATATGAAGATCCTTGATACATCAAAAGTTACTTGAAAAGATGCACATATATTTTACAAAGGAATATCTTCTTATCAAGGATAGTGCTACCTGACTTCCATTGAAGATATTGAATATAAAGATGTATAGAAAATATGGACTACTTTATTACCTTTTGGTGTCCTCTGACAAATCACATTCCTGCCCTTTTTAGTATGTGCTTCTCTATTAGTGATTTGACAAGTTAGGCATGCTTCTTTACCTTGTAGTTGAGAGTGTTTTCGTCAAAAGTTGATTTTATTGTGAAATTCATTGTATCTTCGGTCGATTACAGCAAATTCAAAAAGAAATAGTCTTTTTATAAGACTTCTTTTACACAACAAAAGAAAAATTATAACTTTTTAGAAACAAACGCAGGATCGTTGTTTGGATCGCTGCTTGCGCGAGATCTTTGCCTGTGTCGGGGGTACGTTAACCCGTGGATCACCAAATCACGGATTCTGATTGAATCGTGAAGGCTTTGGGTATTCTTCTTTCGTTTATCGAAGTAGGAATTTGAAGTGAATATCTTATCAAAGTAAGACGATCACTCTTCTTAAGATCAAGTCAAAGCTCGAATCTTAAGGAATCCCAAAGTTACTGTTTGCACCCGAATTTGATGAAGACCCCCTCTCTCTTGAGAAGAACGCCTTAAAATGCTCCACCCCCTTTTGTAACCGCCGTCCCACTACTTAAATATCATCTTTTTATGAGGTTAGTGAGCCTATTTTTAGTTTGTAACTATCTCCCCACGTTTATGATTGATCTCAAGTAGTTATGAAGCCAAAAAACCGTCAAAAAACGTGTTGTAACCAACTCTATGGCTGAGACAGGGTTGTGTGTCTCGCACTTCCGAGACAGTTTGTACTCTCTCGGGTATTTTGGCTCTAACTCCCTCGTCCGATATCGGAATAAGATGATCCAAGATGCGTTAGAAAGCTGACGAAGAGATCTACAACTTTTGCCTTTTGACCTTCTTCAGATTTGGTGCGAGACAGTCATGACAGTCTCGCATTTCCGAGACAGTTTGTGTTGCCTCGGGTATTTTGGCTCTAACTCCCTCGTTCGATATCGGAATGAGATGATCCAAGATGCGTTGGAAATCTGACGAAGAGATCTACAACTTTTGTCTTTTGACCTTCTTCAGATTTGGTGCGAGATAGTCATGACTGTCTCGCATTCCGAGACAGTTATGACTGTCTCACACTTTCGAGACAGTTTGTGTTGTATCGGGTATTTTAGCTCTAACTCCCTCGTCCGATATCGGAATGAGATGATCCAAGATGCGTTGGAAAACTGACGAAGAGATCTATAACTTTTGTCTTTTCACCTTCTTCAGATTTGGTGCGAGACAGTCATGACTGTCTCGCATTCCGAGACAGTTGTGACTGTCTCGCACTTCCGAGACAGTTTGTGTTGTCTCGGGTATTTTGGCTCTAACTCCCTCGTCCGATCTCGGAATGAGATGATCCAGGATGCGTTGGAAAGCTGATGAAGAGATCTACAATTTTTATCTTTTGACCTTTTTCAGATTTGGTGCGAGACAGTCATGACTGTCTCACATTCCAAGACAGTTGTGACTGTCGTACTTCCGAGACAGTTTGTGTTATCTCGGGTATCTTGGCTCTAACTTCCTCGTCTGATCTCGGAATGAGGTGATCCAAGATGCGTTGGAAAGCTACGAAGATCTCTATAACCTCCCATAGGCAAGACACTCATGGAGTAGACGAGACACACATGATACTTCACCCTTTTGTGGGTAAAGCACAACTCCTGGTTGAGTTGTTCCTTTATCGTTTAGCATGTTTGACAGACTCGTACGCCTCGCCGACTTATTTCATATGCTTTTTAGCTTCTCTACAATATCAGATGATCTCCTTTGACTCAGATAATCCTCTTTGACTCGGATAGTAACATTCATCGTCTTTTTTTCATCTCGAGCTATGTGCGAGAACCTATAGGCAATTTTTTATGCCTACAGAGAGTATTTTCCTTGTTGGTGTACCAAGCATGGAGGTTTCTTTTTGTATCTACCATACACATTAATCTGTGTTACCTACATCTCTCTTTGTAGTCTAAAATAAGGCCTAACTAGTTTGAGTTATTTGTTGAGCTGGTTTTCTTTTCCAGTGAGTATGAGCATGTGGGTTGTCTGTACTTCTATTCAAGGCCTTACTTTTCTCCTTTGTAGGATGATATAACTTTTTTACCGGCAATAATGTATCTGATATTCACTGTCTGACCGTCTAAGTGCATTCATAGGGTTTTTGAGATCATAAACCTCCATTATATTTACCTTTTGATGTCGAATTTGCTCACAGTCCTAGTTGTTTGCTCATATATCTGACATACATACAATTTGCTACATCTTATGTGTTTTCTGGGTAGGTGGGTAAGGGTGCTTCTATAGCTGCTAAGCTTCATGGGTATGTGATCATTACACATGCTCCTCATCAGCTGTAATATCTCACGAGCTTGTTTGATAGATGATATGTTTGCTTCTATATCTCCTGCACTTTACCCAAAGTTCAGCTTTGATGATGGTTATTGTTTAGGAATCAGTATTCCATACAAATAGGCATATGTATACAGATGAAAGGAGAGGATGAGTTTTTCCCCATCTTCTCCTTTTCACTAATTAATCCCTAATTCTAAAGAGCATGGTACTTGAAAGGTGTGACATAAGAAGTCATCCTATGGTTTGACATATTTTCCCTAGATCATGGTTTAGCAAGTCTGTGGAGGTACCATAGGAGTTTGATCTATAGAGATGTGACATTGTTATTTTGTTTTTCTGTAGAACATTGTTAAGGTAAGAGGATTTTAGCTGTGTAAATAACAACAGTATTACTAATTTACGAGGGAGGAGAGGAGGGCATTCATGCTGTAAAGGCATACAGACAACAGTATATATATGTAGAGGGCCGTATACGTCTATTGTTATTCGAGTCACAAAAAGAACATTTACATGTCTCAGAAGCATGTTGGATATATGTTGCCTAAAGTTGAGATGCTAGGACGTAAGTCAGTGGATGCTTCAATGATCTATGTTCCAAGCTCATTCCATGCTGGAGGTGTCATTGCATGATCAGATTAGTACAGGAGAGTGCAGAAGAATAGGAGAAGAACTTAAATACTTAATAATTACTCAATCAAATATAGGTTACACAGTGGTATTGGTAGTCAGTATACACCGACTGTTATCAGGAATTTGCTGTGTATGAACAGTACTCTGGTGATAGGCTTTCTACACATTGATTGGCGTCCTCAAAGATTGTAAATTGTTTGGTAGGATCCTCATTTGATAGAAAATTTACCAATCGGTTGTGTCCTTGTTCTAGGGATCTTTTCTCTTGGAAGAATAAAAAGGCGGACTGCCATGTTAAAAGTAGGTATATCATACTATGCAACTCTGCATTTTATAATCCACATGTAGTGCATTGTGACTTGTACATATGTGATGTGCAAACAGGAAAACACTTCCTGCAAAAACTGATATGAACTGATATGGAAGGTTAAAACACGATGCTTTTTTCTCTCAGTTAAAGAAAATATACCAGGGACCTTTCCTCCAAAATGGATATGAGCTGCTAAGGAATCTTAAACATGATACTTTTTTCTCTCAGTCAAAGAAAACAAACAGGAACCTGTCTTCCTAGGATATACATGAACTGATATTATTGGCATGTGAATTCGCACTAGGCTTGATTCTCTAGTTCGTCATGTATAAATGTTTAATATCATCAGTTGCTGCAACATAACAGTGCTTTGTTGAAACTATTTCCTAGTAAATTTCGCAAAACCGCCCCAATAATTTTGGCCCCTTTTGAGATAACTGCAAAAAAGTTCAGAATGTCACTTAGCCTCTAAAACGTTTTCATTTTCATGAATCTACTTTCAGATGACCCTATCTTTTTGGGGTTATCTGATAAGGCTTTGTGGGTTAACTGACAGTTCCAAACTTTTTTGGGGGTTATCTCAATATGGGCCAAACCTCCTGGGGATTTTGGAAACTTTACCATACTATTTAGCTCAGATGAATCTTGGGCTTGAGTGTATTAGCATCTTTAGTTTTGCTGTTTTTTTATTTGAAATTCTTATGATCTTATCGTGGTAGTTTTGTTCATATAGGTTTTAGCTTCTTGCTAGGATTTAGTTTAGCATGTCGTCAATCAGTTGTTTGATTAGTTCATTCATTTGTCAATCGTTCAGTACTATCCAGTGTTAAGTATTGTTGTCAGAGCCCTGCATTAGGTTTGTGTATGTTTAATGATAGCTTGAATTATAGGGATAGGACACTTGAAGTAGAGCTTGACAAGCAGTGGAACACCTAGATGGCACGGGTGCACGACAAATTTGTAAAATGTAGCAATATATATATTATATATATATATATATATATACTTATAGTATATAGCGTGAGAGAGAGAGGAGAGAGAGAGAGAGGAGGATTGGGTTTTGGGTTTGGTTTTTGGCAAACTCATCATTTTTTAAAATTGAGGGTTTTTTGCAAAATCTACTCAACCTCTTCATTAATTTACTCACTAAATGATGTGTGGACAAAATTTGTCCACATCACTACCAAGTCCCATTGAGAAACTTAGTACCAAGTTTCTCCATTTCTCTCCCTTAATTAAAATACATATAACATTTGTATGTTTCTTGTATTATCTTTAACAATTAAGAATCAAGTTAAATCAAACTAAGAATAATGTTTAACAAAAAAGGTTTAGTTTTGATTGCATGATATTAATACAATGCATATTTTTCAAATATTTAAGTAACGGATGTCAGTTTCTGGGTTCAAAAACCAATTGGTTTTGAACCTGATATTACCAAAGAAACTAGGGGAAATCGGGTTTTGCCTTGAACCACATGTGACTATGGTGTCCCCGAAGAGAATCTATGTCCGACACGTGTCGGACATGGACACGGCACCCAATACGCCTTGTCCGAGTAACCTAGTCGAGCACATAATGCAAATGAGTCAGGCAATTGTAACTATTATGATAGATCAAGAGCCTGCTATAAAGAATAGACAGGATACTACGACCTGTTCGAAAATCACCCTAGAGGATGTCTTGATTCATTTGAAAATCACCCTAATGGAACTCAAAAAGCATCCAGCTTAGGATGACTGCATTATGCTTTTCATTACGGTATTCATTGCAAGAGTGAAATAAATGTTAGTGTAGTCCTTTTTCTTAAATTGTAAATTTTCCCCAAGCTGATTTACTTTGTCCTAAAACAGGAGACGTAAGCCTTTTAAGACTCCTTTGAACCAAATCTATGAAAGGATATTGGTCCCTCAATCTTTCTTAGTTGTATGCTACCGTTTTTCGTTTTTATCTCAACTAGTTTCATAGAAATAGTCCAACCTGTTTTGACTAGGCACAGTGCTCCCAATCCTGGCTGGGTGCATCATATAGATGTCCAAAGTTTTCCTAAAAAGACTCATTTGGAATCAAACTTGGGACCAATAGAAACCAGTCTCAGATCCTTTGTTTCACTCTCAGTTGATAGCCTGTAATAATCTGAAGTTTGATAGCACTATGTATTATCATGCTTACTGTGTGATGTCTATCAGTATTTGAATTTTGGATTAATGTAACCACTTGTTCTTGCTGAATTTTTATCTCCCAAAAAGAAATATTGTGCTTGCCATTAGATTACCAAATAACTTTACAGGTGCCTTCTTTCTTTGTTCGGAAGCTCATCACACAAGTATTCTCCTTCATAAATATCCAGTTATTTAATAGGTAAGTTCTCACTTAAACATGGAATATCTATAGTAAAGAACTAGAATTTTTTTCATTTGATCACTAGGCTATCAATTTTTCCCCTTGTACTCAGTTTGTTGCTACGGCGTGAATGTTGCACGTTCTCTAATGGAGAATATGTAAAGTCTGGTCTTGCAATATTGGAGAAGTGGATAGCTGATGCCACTGTAGAGGTGACCTCCATTTATCTATTTTTCAGTTGTTGATCTTGTATGATTTAATTTATTTCTATTGTAGTTTGCAGGAACCTCATTGCAGGAGCTAAATTATATAAGACAAGCTGTTGGTTTCCTGGTATACTTTAGCTCCATAGTTGTCTCAGAGAAGTTAATCCTGTGTAACTGTTTTATGCTTTTATTTATGTTATCAAATGGTTTACAGATTTTACATCAAAAGAGGAAAAAGTCTCTTGAAGACATAACAAAAAATCTTTGTTCGGTATGATCATTTAACATTTAAAGAAGTATATGATTTTGCTTCACTTAAAGTTAACTAATTACAAACAGTTTTCCACTTCAAATGAGTTATGTGACAGATATTGAATTTGAACAGGAATTGAGCGTGAGGCAAATATACCGGATTTGCACTATGTATTGGGATGATAAATACAGTACTCATAGTGTCTCAAATGAGGCATGTGAATGTTGATCTTTATTTTATAGCTTCGTAAGGTACTTTTTAATGCTTCATTGTTCCTAAACTGTAATAAAGGAAAGAAATGCAGGTCGTTGCAACAATGAGGGATATGGTGAACAAGGACTCCCAAAGTCTTGCATCTAATTCATTTTTGTTGGATGATGATCTGAGGTAAGTTTCTCTTTGTAGAAGTCTCGTATTACTTGTAGGCATTTCTCAGCTAGTTTTCAATTTCTAAGTGAACCCAAAACATGGTTGTAAATTGGTAATCTATGTTGCAGGTATACTTGAATAAAGAAGATGTATCCATCTCTAAAACTTCCATTACTTGGATGCTTGTTGATATTATGATATACTTTTAAAAATTATATTATATTCTACACTGTTTTAAAAAGCCTCTGTCTAGGCGTATGCCTAGGCTTGGGCGGTACATAGGTCGCCTAACTAGCACATGAGCGGTACCTAGGGTGTCCACCTAGGTTTTGGGAATTTTTAGGGAAGTATTGTCTATTTGCGTAGACTGCACCATTTAGGTCTTGATCGTGATTTTCTGTGTTGCAGCCTCCACGTCCTTCAAATTCCTTTTTACTTCCAAATATAAACACCTCCATAACCTCCTCTGACCTTTATCAAAACCTCCTCAACCACCAATTAAATGAAAAAAATCCGCTAGCCACCAGTCCGCCACCTAAACTTTCTATAACATTGACATTTACTATCAATTATTGTGATCGAAAAATAAAAAAAGAAAACCTCCTAGGCTTTAGACGTCGGGTCCAACGCCTTAGCCTCCTAGCGCTTTTTATAACATTGTTAGTTATTATTTCGGCTATTTAATATTTAAATATGTATTGTTTATTGTGGATCTAAGATTGCTATCTTTTTTTTGGTAAATTTATATGAAGTTAATACATATTTTTATCAATTATTATAATTAAATAATTTAAAAATAGCCAAACGCCTAGGTGCCGCCTAGGGGTCTAGGCGCTAGGCGCTGGCTCAAATGCGTAGTCTGGCTAGCACCTTTTGTAACATTGATATTCCATATAAGATGTATAAAAGATATCTTCTAGATAAAATATAATGCATAAATGACAATACTTTCATTTGACTTATAGGCATATTTATGTAATCTGTTCTCTTTCTAAATGAAGATCTATAATTAATTCAGTAACTATTGGTTTATATAAATTGGTTGATATTACTCAACTTATTTTTAATTAACTAATGTAGCCTTAGAAATCAATTATCATTTTTTTCTTAATTTAATCATTGTAGATTAATAACAATAATTCATATCTAGTTTTACTATACTTCAATTATGTTCAATCATCGTTATATTTCATTAGCAACTATTATATTACTTCTGCGTACCATATGCTCCTCATGTTGATATTGGCAAGTATGGTATTCTAATATTTATTACTACCGAAAAGATTCTATTTGTTTAACTTTTTTAAAGTATGTGTTCCTTGATTTGTTACCTGTATTTGCTTCAGCTACCACTTGTTGGACATTAAGGTTCAACCTTCCTGATACCAAATAAATATATTTCTATGTTGAAAGATAGAATTAATTCTACAATTTATCCTCTTTGTGGAAAGCTTCTATAACCATCTATGCTGAGGGTCACCACAATATGCGTTCGAACTACTAAAGTGCTCTTATGTGTTGTATTTAGTACAAGCATCATAATAGCATGTAACCCAGTGAAAGACATTGTGTCTTTGGACTTATCATTATCTTTCCTTTACAATTGCCATAGTTCTGCAAGCTATCCGTGCGGAGAGGGTTAATTGTATTACCTTTTGTAAGATCTAGCATCCTGTAACTCTTTTTCTCACTGCAGCATTCCATTTTCTACTGAAGACCTAGCGAAGGCTGTTCCAGTTGTAGATCCAGGAGATGTTGAGCTCCCCTCATCCCTTCGTCGACTCCCTTCTGCAATGTTTCTGGTCCATCCTATTGAGCTATAGTCTGATTAAGTCATCATTATCTTTGTTATCAGATATTCATGTTGCATGGAGTGCTTACATTGTTGATGCAAAATATAGAGTCAGCATCATTTATTAAGATGCGGATTAACCGTAAGAACGGGATTTCATGCTTCAAGGATACCGGTTCAGCTGATCAAGTCTACATCATCTCCTTGGGAAAGAGCAGCTAATACGTTCTCGGTTGCTGTCAGAAATCCTGCAAATGATACCGATTGTAACATAAATGCCATCCTTCATTGCCAATTTGGCAAAAAAAATTCCTGCGCTTCATTTTGGTGAAACATTTTTTCGCTCTTATTCTACTGTAAATAATCAGGTAAATGTATCATTATTTTGTTCTATTGTGCTTTCTCAACTCTGGAACAGTGTTTCTGTGTCAATTATTCCATCAGATGAGAGCATCAATTTTCACGTGAAGCATCATTGTTGATAGTTATTGAGTCTATAATGAGAACGTTCTCTACCTATGCGCCATTTACTCCTATTTAAATGCTAGGGAGTTCCTTTTCTCCGGTGAAAAGGCTTTAGCTTGATATTAGTGGTGAATCCGTTGCATCAACTATGTATTAGAGAGAGAGATTACTTCAATGTATGTATCCTTGATTGTAGTTATCCAATGACAGGCGCGCGTTACTTGAGTGCATTATTACTGCAATTTATTCAGGCCATGTTATTCTTTCTCGTCTTTATCAATATCATACACTAACACCTGTATTTTGTAAGAAAATGTACAGTTCCTTTTTGTTCAAATGCAATGCAAATTAGAGTAAAAAAATGCAATTGCAAATTCACATAGAATGGCGATCAAAAACTTTTTACTCAAAAAAAATCATGAAGAAGCACTCAACAAAAGCAAGGTACACTAAGCACTCAACAAATTCGTAGTTTAGTCTTTCTGAAAATTCATGGTTTGGTCTGTGTGTTGTGAGTCCCTTATTCTAGTTTTGCAAGCCTTTTTCTTTATTGAAACTTCATGGGGATGTAAACCTTTCACACCTTATGTAAGGTCCTCTGTGTGATTTTCCTTTACCAATTTTTCTTCATCCTTGTACTCCGAGCAAGCAAAGCTTTTCCTCGTTATAGTATAATCTCCTTTAGTACTCCAGTCCTAATTCAATGTTTTTTTCGGGTTTTTTCCCCATATATCTCAAAATCTTTCCTACAGCATATTTGCTAATATATCCATACATTCCCTCCACATTAGATTGTTACCCATCTCAACAGCAAAATTTATGAATTAGGATTCTCTTCATTATAGAAAAATAGTGGAGATTCACTGCTTTTAATCTCAACTCTAAACTATCTAATGTGTACTTGTGATATATTCTAAATCTAACACTCATCATTCTTCGTCTATTACACTCGTTCATAGTTTGTACTTACAGAAAAAATCACAATCACCCATTAGATAATCAGTGATTGTAATTAGTTAATGGTTTTGTTACTACTATTTTGATAGCGAAGGGAATCTGAATCCAAAATTCATAAGGTAAATTAGCAAATACACATATTTGGAGATAAATCTGCAACTAGGAAAGCTTTGGACGAACATAAGCAAAAAAAAAAGCCCTTATTACTTGGGAGAGAGAGGGAAGTATCTTCATCAATTTACCCTTTTTAGCTTGAAATTTAACAGCGTTAATGAGAAATGTATTTAATTTAAATTCAAAGAATGTAGGGCTAATTATCAACATGGATTTGTGGGGCTTTGTAGGTAAAAGAATGTTCATCTTCTCAAAAATACCGCCTACAATTGATGCTTGAGTTCATTTGGAATTACGATCGATATATAAGACCTCTTTCTAGTACATAATTGAAATGTGGTACGGTTCCACTTTTATTGCGGCACGCATGGCTCCACCTAATCGAGCACCCAATGGTTTCAATGACATAAAGTTGTTTCACCTTATAGTCAAGTTCTTTATTCTTTCTACAATTTTACTTGTTTTCATTTTAGTTTTTATTTATTTATTTTTTTACTGGAACTGTAAACCGTTATTTGTATTACGTATTGGTTGTTATGCATTTTATTAGCTTCATGTGTTGTTAATTGTTATTTGTTCAGAATCCTCTGCCTGATGATCACCAATTGTTCACTTATTAATTGGTTATCTAGGATATTCACCTTCACCTGTTCACGGGTAAGGTTGAAAATTTTACCTAGGTTCGTCATTAACATCTCATCGTAGTTTAATCTTCAAAGTACTGATAAGCTGCAACATATATTTTTCTTCTTTGTGGGACACCTCATAATCTAAGAGCTAAAAGAGTCCAGCATAATGGCACATGATCGATTTGGATGGGGGGATGTATTAATTACCAGATCATGAGGCTGTGTGTGTTACACTTTTATTTGGGATCATAATGCACGCACAATGCATGAGTGTAAAATAAAACCAGAACCGATGCCCGTGCATGACATATTTTCAAAAGAATAACGCCTTTCTCAATTTCTTGGGGATTGTATATGTATGCTTACTTTGTCAGAAGAGAGTGAATCAAAATAATCCTTATCAATCTCTTGATGCTTCGTTAAATGTCGCCTCACAAAGAGAATGAATCAGGTGGAGTTGCCTTCTCAAAAGAGGAGGAATGAACCGACGCCATGGATATAATTGCCTTCTTTTCGGGACAAATCTTTAATGTGAGTACGAAGTGAGTCAAACAAATAGAACAAATATTAACTCCACAAGCAACGAACCAACTCCCGAGCCCGATTTATTCGGTAATTCGATCTACAAAAAGGAAACATTCAATAAATGGACCATCCGCCCAAAACTGTACGGTCATCTTGATGGCAATGACCAGTTGACATGTTTGCTCTTTGAATAGCAAGAAGCAACTTTGACCGGTGTCAACCAACCATCATTTTAAAGCCTTCCCAAGTTTTAATGAACGCTCAAATTGAGTTCTCTTAAGCTTCCTATGAGAATTCAAAGAATAAGATACAGGAAAATATATATAACTTAACTGTGTTCTTGTTCCTGTTAAGTGATAGCAATCTATATCAATTCCAACTATACATTCCCAGGTCATATAGGCTAATGAACAAATCATCCATAAAATATGAAGAGGATGATCTCCAATCGCAATGTTGTAGCTTCCAATTGCAAAGCAGTTCATTGAAGCGTATGTTATTGGAGATAATGCTCTTCAATTTCTTCAATTGCTTGTACTCTTACTTAGAGAATTCAATTAAATTTGTTCCTTGGCGCGCGCAATTGAATAACAACAGTTCAAAATTCTACAACTTTTTCCGAGTGCATCCCAATTCATTCGGTAGAAATTTCCACCAGACTCTTATCAAATTCAGTACTCGCTCAAAAGGTTAGCGTTCTGAAGAGGCGTGCATCATCGTCAGTCTTTGATAAAACCTATGAATATAAAGAATAATTGATATGATCCAAAGAAACTCCGTACAGGAATCCTGGTAGCTTGTCATGATCCATGAATTAAACGATCTCAAAAACAGACGCCGTCCGTGCAGGTAGACGGCTTCGGTCCATATCTCCTTAAATTATTTAACGAATTCCTTTTGAGTTATGCATAGGCTTCGGTCCATATCTCCTTAAATTACTGTTTGCTATATAACAGTAATTTTGGGAGTTGAAGAAAAAGAAAAAGAAAAAACTTACCACTCTTTGGTGGCAGAAGTAAATGGGAGAAACTGTAAAAGACGCAAACAAAATCTCGATTTTTTTGGATTTCAATTTTTCTTAAGAAGAACAACTTTAAAGGGAAGATAGAGAGATATCACTATATTGTTGAACTGTTGTTATTCAATTGCAAGCTGAGAGATATCACTATATTGTTGTCCATCGATTGTAGCATGCAGATTTAATTGAATAACAAATTTAATTGAGAAGCATGCAGATGGTAGCATGCAGATGCAAGCTGAGAGATATCACTATATTGTTGTACAATGTTGATTACAATCCATAAAACTACTGTAATAAAGAGGAGTAATGGCTATTGATTAAGGATAAGGTATGCTAACATTACTATGATTATTAGAGAAACTACCATGAATTTTTCACTAAACTATCATGTCTGATGACAATGAGTGTAGGTTGTCGCATGCTTAACACACGACACGTTTTAGACAATTTAGTTCTGGTGTACTTTATATATCTTCTATATTAGTCCTGTGAATTTCCCAGATTGATGGACATAAATAACCCGCCAGTAAAAATTTCCTATAGTTTATGGGATTTTTCTACAATTTTTCATTGTAGTTATCTAATAAAAAAAAGTTAATGGTAGTTTTGTGCAAAACCCTCCAAATTTCATGGCAATGTTGTGAATTTAACCCTTAATATCTATATGATAGTGAAATATGAAAGAAACTTTCTAGCGTCTAGTTATATGGCAATCGAGTTTCACAAATTCAGAAGATTATTTCTTTCCTTAACTAACTTTCAATGAACAATTTCAAACAGAACAACAAAGCTTTTATCCTAGATTTTGGGGATCGGCTACATGATTATTATCATTATATTTAATTCTATTAAATCTCTTTTGTTAACTGTTTTTGTGATGCATACTTCTCTAAGTCCATATACAAGCTAGCTTTCCATGACCAATATCATGCCATTTTATTTGGTAGAAATTATTTGAATAGGCCGCGTTTGTTAACTTATATCAAGTTTTGTATATGGACCACAAATTGAAAATGTACATCAAGCAATTTTGAGTCTCACATTGTTACAGGGTTTTGGAATTAGAACTTCAAACTATAGTTAGAGATATACAAAAATTGCTGATATTTCAATGTTTGAGATCAGAAAAGTGATACCTTGGCCTATAACTACTGCTCTCCTTTCTCCAGCAGTTGCTTTAATAAGTGTATTTAAATCATAAGAAGTATAAGGTCCATCAGTCAATCTTCCAGCCCTGATAAGCAAAAAAAATTGAATGTTTCGGCCAAAATTTTTTACCATTCTACAAGTTCATATAGGTGAAGAAATTTATTTAAGCATTAATATATTAGTAATAAGTAATATACCTGATAATGGTATAAGGAAGGCCAGAATTTCGAACAAAATCCTCCCCCATCTTCTTGAACTTTAAAACTCCAATTAGATTCATGATACTGTAACCATCATCGAAAAACTTTGTGAGTGCGTCTTTTCAACCAGAGAAATGAAGTCATATATGCAAGACTTTTATATTATGAATCGCAAAAAACAGCATAACCGAGACCTAATTAGCCGAGATAACAATAAGAAAGGAGGAATTTTTTTTCTGAAATAAACGCATCAGCTGAAATTGAAGGGGTTTTATCCTATTTAGACTTGCAGATGGAGGCATCATAACCAAAATACTGTAAATTTTCAGTTAC